TTCTGCTGCGCCGTCTGCATTCCGCTCCGCCTGCCTTCCCCGCTCCCTCTCCGGTTTCTCTCAACTAAGTTATTAGCCGCTAGCTTCGTGTGTTTTTTAGTATAGCTTCGTGATCCTTGGTTTCTTTAGAGTAGTTTATTATTCCTAGTTATAGCTTCGTGTGTTTTAGTATAGCTTCTTTATCTGAGTGTCTCACTGAGCCTTATTTGCTTAGTCTCTTTTCGTTCCTCGTTCTAGCTTAGCTTTCGTTTTCTTAGCCTTTTGTTTGTATTAGCTTCTTACCCGCTTTACCACTCGTGTAGTTTTAGTTTCAGTTCCCGAGTGCGTTTTTCGTTATTGTTAGTTTTAGGTTGGCTTTCCGTCTGTGGTCTTACCACCAGCTTGGTTAGTGTTTGTTTTCTTGCCCTATTGTAAAATAATTTTATTTTTGACATCTGTCTCCTGTGTCTTGTTGCTCTGCACGTGGGTCTGAGTACTGACCGTAACAACTGAACAATCATGAAAAATCATTCTTACACTGATGGATGTGCCATTAAAGGTTTCTTACCCAAACAATATGATGAACACTGTAGATATCACTGTCTCCAATGTAGACCCTGATGGCTCTGAGAGTGAAGCCGTACTTCTTTCCAGAGCGATGGATGGTGATGGGCGAGCGCAGCACACTGACTGCTGGGCAAAAGTCTCTGCTCGGTGAAGAGTCACGTGACGAGGGGTTGGAGGAGAAAGAGTGAGGAGACATGGGGCTGGCCAGAGGAGAGAAGCCGCCGTGCTGCTCCACTGGAGGCAGAGAGAGGGTAAAGACATTGTATTAGAGCAGAAGAAATCAGTATCTCCTAAAGCATGTCATTCTTTTCTTTCCTTGTGCATCTCACCTGATGGTATGATAACAGACAGGGCTGTGGCAGAGGCTGACTTGATGACCTTGTTGCCTGGTCTGGAGTTCCGTTTCTCTCCATCGCCAGACAAATGCTGGTGGCGCGCCCTCCGGAGGACAAGGTCATTTGTGGCTCGAGGCCCCAGAGGGTCATACAGAGGCGCCATCACGTCCCGACCGGCTGCTGCAGGACCTGGTGATAACGTAGTGATGGCTGTGGCGACGCCTGGCGTCTCTCCAGGTCGAGGAGATTTGTCTGTGATGATGTGGAAATTAGTTATTTAAATTTAAAGTAACATTGGGGGTGAACATAGCAATGTTAAGAATTGCACAGCTGCCAAAAGACTCGGCAAAACCCCTTTAACCAGTTTGAAAGGCATGTTATCTAAAGCACCAAAATGACAGTACCTCTCAGAGCCAGAAACTGTAAAAACAGAAAGGATCATCTGCTTTCCAACAGTCCATGAACCACTCATCTGTGTCATTTACTAATGTGACTTAACCCCTTGAACCCCAAAGCCTGTTGGTGGGTTTAAAAAGGAATACTATCTTTAAAAAAACTAAAACAAAATGACACCATTTGTCAGAGCCAGAAAATATTAAAACAAAGAGAACTAGCCATCCGTGACACACCATTCCATTGGGAAATTGTACCACATCTAAGCTTGAAATCATGATATTTTATCAAAATTAATATATTCTTAATGTTTCGTCTAAAAATTACAGAAAAAAAGACCAGATTCTGTAAAAAACACAAAGATGCTATATTGCATTGCACAACTAGGAAGCCATAACCGACTCAAAAACCTCAATTTTCTGGCTGAACTTGGCTGAACTGCAGGCTGTTTTTACAGAGTAGAGAGAAAACAGAAACAAACCAGAAACTGTGTCATACTGCACAGAAGACATGTTTGATTTCTCCCTGCTTCTAGTCGTGGTTGTGCCATTTCCATGCAGGTGCAGGACTTCATACTGCAGTGAAAAATGAGCCCTCAGGCAGCAAAAATGTGACAGGAGCAAAAAACATCCAGAAACTCCTTGGGGTTTATAGGGTTAATAAGGTATTACAGAGTGCTTTTTCATTTTTCCCACTGTTAGCCCCCTTTTCTTTCTCTGTATGCTTTATTCTTTGTAACTTTCTGTGTCTCCCCCTCTCATTTACTTCCTCTTTGTCTCTTTCCCTGCCTCCTGCTAACATACCTGCTCCATTGATCTCCTTCAGACTGGTTCTCTGCTCCAGGAGGCTTGGTGAGGGGACAGGGGTTCCATCCAGTGAAGTTCCACGGATCTTCATGGGGTTCTGGCGGGTCAGGAAGTCCGGCTCACCTTCTAGAGGCGAAGCAAAACGATGTGTATCCATCAGTGCTGAGAAGCGTCGCCGGGCACCAAGAGGAGGGCTGGCATCTCCTTCCATGTAGAGGGACTCTGAACAAGACAGACGTTTCCTGGAGGGGAAGGACACAGACACAATAACATAAAGGCAATTATATGGTGTCCTTATTGTAAGAATCCATTATCCAGCACGGCTAAGGATCTAAACCTAATAGTGAGTCGGTGAGGCTGAACAATGGTGCTTTGATTAAAGTGCTGATGTTAAACAGGTTTTATGTTCACCATCTTAGTCTATAGGCATTTGCTATTTAGCGTTAAAGAGAAAGCTGAGGCTGACTAATTCTGAAACTCTATGGTTATAAAGCATTGTACAGCTTCAAATTCTGACCTAGTGGTGGCGCTAGATGAAAAATTAGGGGCTCATCAAAGTTATTACAATTGATCCCGAGGTCAGTATGGAGATCTCCACTATATTACATGGATATTTATCCAGTAGTTATCAAGACATGTCAATCCATCCGTCACTTGCTTTCCACTAGTATGGCTAAAAAGATTAGCAATGCCTGAGGTGGAAACACAGTCAGATGAGGTGATAAAAGTGATGCTATTGCTAAATTATTTCTTTAATTAAATCCGTAATGAGCTGGAGGCAAAAAATGAATCATAGCTGCAAAGATGTTATAGATAAAATTTCATTCGGTATGGAAGAGGAGAGAATTCAATAAGTGAGGTAGCAAATGAAGCGCCTCCTTCACATTATTTGTATCCATTATGGAGGCTGAATGTATGAATTTTCTTATATGATGATTTTGTTATATATATAGAAGGAATAGAGGGATTTCAATCCTGGCATACGTTTCTTAAAGACTGAGGTGAAATGGAGTTATAAAAAGTAATCTGCTTCTGCTGCATGTGTCAGCAATGTGTCAGTTAGTAATACCTTTGCATGGAAAGCACACCACCATATTACTAATGAACCTAGATTTCAGGATGGGAATCAATTTTTCATATAGTTGGAGTAAAAACTAAAACCCGGGATGCAAGCTAATGAGAGGTCTGTAATTTACAGTGAAATACGAAGAATTCAATAAGTGTTGTGCATAACTGCAGGTGAACAGCTTTAATATTGAGGGTAAGAACAGTATTAGCCCATCTGTATTAAACTGAATTAACAGAATACACACTCATTAATGAGTAAACAGCTACATCGGAATTAGTCATAGCAAATAATGAGAAAATGAGATATTGGATTCCTGTGAAACTCATGAACCAGCTACCCGATTCCACTCTCCTAGTTTCAGACTTTGGAGAGGAAGGATCTGTTGCCTGTGGTTGACTCAAAGTGAGTGTGAACTCTCACACAAAGTTTCTTTTTATACTAGAAGCGCCAGAATTAGTGTCAGTGAGATAGGCACACTGGGATATGTGACAGCTCGGCAGGAGGAAGAGAAAAATAATTTTTTTAAAAACCTTCAGGGAATCACCTTCTGAACACTGTCATATCTTATGTAAGTATAAAGAACACCCAGCCTCGCTGTCTCATACACATCAACAGGACTTAAAAACCTCAATTCAACACTCACATCTCTGGGGATCCGGTTCTCCAGCTCTTGTCCCTCATGCTGAAGCTGCCCAGGCTCTCTCTCTTGGTGACCTTGTCCTCCCATGGGCCCTTGTGCTCCCGACGTGACACAGAGGTCGTAGCTTTCTGCTCCAGCTGAGACAGATGCTCCATGCTGCTGTACACCTGCAGGGGGATCAATAATCATTTGGTCTTTTAGCCTTTTATTAATGGATTAGGAGAAATGTTGCTGGTGAGTTTGTCTGCTGCTATAATGGTTTTACTGCTCAGTTCAGATACATTTAGTGCACTGCAATATTTCTTGCAGCAAGCAAGCATTCAAACCTAAACACAATAAACCCACGAGACATAAGATAACTGATGTCAGTAAAAGAGCTGCTGTCATTTATTCTGTGCAAACTAAAAGGTTCGCAAAAGCAAAGTTGGCAGTGTTTTAGATTTAAAAGTATTCACCACACATGGATTACATTAAAAAACTTTACCTCATTAAACCTAATTTTTGTAAAGCTGTATCTCTGAATAGATGTCATATTCCTTAAAGAGGAATTCTACCAACTCTTTACAGGTCTTCTACATTTCTGAAAAAGTGTATAAGTTGTACAAAGCATTCTGTGGCTCCAGACAGAAGTGTGTCTGATAAATTGCTTTAAGTTTGACAATAAAAAAATGCTGTAGTGGTTGGAAGCTACGGAGAATGGAGCATACCAGACCTCTGCAGCCTGCTCGTCTCTGCTTGAAGCTACATTAACTGCTGCATAACACACCTGAATCCCCACCTGAGCTGTCTGTGGTCGAGTTGCACTGTGAGAGATGTTGGTGGGTTTTGATAAGGAAGAAGAATGTGTGCAATTCAAAGGAAGCTAAAACTGCACATCAATCTGTGCAGTGCCAAATCGATGGAGTACTTTTTAAAGGCAGATCGCGGTCAAGATTTTACTTTCTATGCGGTCTGCCAGCTCAAAATGTCTGAGTGAAGAGTGATTTTACTTTCCTGGTTGATTCCTCATGGGCTTCAGCTTTTAAAACACTTCCTTCAGAAGCTTCTAACTCTTCTTAGTTTGTAGAGAAATTTTTTTTTAGTTAAAAATGATGCCTCAAAGTCTGACCCAAATACTCTGACACTCTGATGGATACAACATTATGAATCCTTGTATTTTGAAACTCTTTGGCATGAAAATAGTTGCAGTTTCAACACTGGCACAATCCTATGTATTAGCTATTGACAGTTTTAGTCCAAAAATTTCCGTGTTGGCTTTTACAGCCCGAGGCCTTATCACAGCATTAATGGTAATTGGCGGCAGTGTTTGATATTTGGAATTTATCGAGTAGTGGTTGTAAATATATTTCCTTTAGCTCCAGCTTGGAAGCTTGTACACATGCATAATCTTGAGAGAATGATTATTGCCAACTGTGCAGTGGGACTGAATCATGGTCAAATTAAACAGCCTTTAAATGTACTTATATATCTTTGTGATGTACTAGTTGCGTCAATGTGAGTCATGCATGAAGGTGTGCACTTGTTTACTCTACACCTAAGGGAGTGAATACACGTCTGCTTGATTCCCACTTTGCCTGACAATCATTTTCTTAATGTTATAAAGAAGATAAAAGACTTTTTAACAGGATTAGATTTGCAAGTCTTTTAGAAGACACTGTTAAGTTAGTAGTTAATGGTTTTTGGATGTTTTTGCACTCTTGCATGCAAGAGAACTCGTAATATTCAGCACATGTCCTTGTAAAGGAAACTTGACTCTCATATCTGTGACCTAAAACGTGCCAAAACATAAAAGAGATCCCATCAGCTGTGACCCCCTACACTGGAGAGCAAAACTCGTATGCCATTAGTAATCATGTACGTGAGCATTAACATATCCACAAAGACATGCTAACAGTTTCTGTGCAAAGCTCTCACTATGTGCTAAATAGCACAGGAAAGCTAAGCTGTGTGGGGGAGGACAGCAAGACAAGCTGCGTTAAGGGAAGCCTAAAGAATATTCAGCAGCGCACCATGGAAACAAGTGAAGACCCAGCTGTCTTCTCAGGAGGAAAACCAAAATGATGTCAACAGCCAAAAACAATTTCGTACTTAATTTTGTTTAGGAAACCTCTAAAGCTGTGACTTAATTTCATCAAAATGTAAAGTAGCAAAAACACATTTAGGAAAAGCTGCTTTCAGCTCTGGATGATTACTCATGTGACATCTGTTTTTCTTTTTTTTGTACATGTTTTGTGTGTGACTATTTGTTGTGAACCTTTTGGAGATTCATTGTCTCACCTGCACAAAGGAGTCATTAGCATTGCCTTTTTCAGTTTTATCATCCAATTTCATCTTTGTTTATTCGAGCTTCAGGACAATGTGTCCCAACAATAAGCCACAATCAAATGAGGTTGAGGTGATGCTAAATGAACAAATGCATTAAAACATGATGGTCTCTCTTGTTTTAATAGGCATGAGAAACAATAATGGAAACAAATGCTCACCTCATAGAATCATGAAGTGCCTCTCAGAAAATAAGAGAGTCCTTTAGGTTGCAGGTAAAATATACAGCACCTTCTTGTGCCTGAACTTTAGCGCACAGGTTTGCAGCTTTGCTGATTCAAATTTTGCATTTGAAATCTTATCATTGGATTTTTTCTACATGTTTTGTGTTTGTCTTTTAACATTTTAGGATATCATAAAGGCACAGTAATACACATCAGGATTACTTTTGCTTTTACATTATCAATTAATATTTTGTTTAATAGCTTGAATAATTAAGTTATTGGTAGGTATATACAATGTCAGAAAAAGCAGCAAATCATCAACTTGGAGAAACTGAATCTAGAAGATTTTTGGCACTTTTGCTTAAAAGATTACGTAAATGATCAATGGATTATTATAATAAGTGATGATTACTCATGTAGGAATTGTATTGTAATGTATATTAATATATTAAAAAGACTGAAACACATGAGCATGTTCACTGTAGACCTCATTATGTTCCTTGCTATAGGCAGAAGTCTTTGCTTGAGCGAGGACACTCAACAGCCCTCTAACTGTTACTTCAATTGTAGCTTCAAATACATCTTAAATTTAATTGAAAGTGGCCTCTCAATGAGGGTTTCCATCTACTGAAGAGCTCCTTCTCGACTTCACAACCCAGACATGAGACGATGGACCAGGTGAAAGACAGAAGGAAGGCAGAGTGAGTTAGACAGACAGACGGCGAAAGAATTAAAGTGGGAAAGTTAAGAGAGAGAGAGAGAAATGTGAAACAGCGTGAGGTGAGAAAATCCTACCCAAAAGAAAAAAGTAACTGAAAGAAAAAGTCACAGATCAGAAATAAAGGAGATTTGGCAAAGGAAAAAAATGATGTAAAAAGAAATTAGGCTGGAAGATGTCTGGACCATAACACACATTTACAGACAAGTAGAGCAGAAAGGAAGCATGAGGCCTCGGCTTTAGGGCTACATGGACTTGAATGACATGGTTTAAATTAGAAACTGGGGATAAGAAGAATAAGGATGGATGTATAGGAGTTAGACAGCCCAGTTAGATTTCAATAACACCAGATTTAAAAAAAAAACCCTGCGTCCAGCCTCCAGGTGTTGCTCTGTACAATCTGACCTATTTTTTTTTATCTGTCTAACAATCTTTTCTTCTTCCTCATCTAATCCTGTCAAGTAATCTCCAGTGCCAAGTGAGCTTCTGTGTGACAAACTATGACAAGCTGACAGAGAGAGTAAGAGATTGATGAAAGAGGAGAGGATGTAGAGAGGTAAAGTCAGACCTTGCTGAAGCGAGGAGAGCAGGAAGAGAACTGTCTGATCTCCACCGGCTCATCATCATTGGTGTCATCCTCGTCGTACTTATTGATGTGGTGATAACGATCTGAGCGGGCTGGCAGAGAGTGAAGGAGAGGAGGGAGTTCAAGATGAAATGTGCATTTCTGCCTGGGACGGTGTCAGAAAATTGTGGTACAACCCATAAACCTAATATTAATATAACCAGTGTCCTTTATAGACACATAAATATAGACACACGTACTATCAAAATAGCTGGTGTCCTCCTCTGACTCCAGGTGAGGGATGAACTCTGCCTTCTGCCTCAGTAAACTGTTCCAGTCCAGCTCAGTGAAGAATGAGTGCTGCTTCACCTCAAACGCTCCACCTGGTGGCAGGGGCACAAACAACGACGTCTGCTAAAAAATAATATCAAATGGATTTGATGTGACTTAACCCTCTGAACTCCAAATCCTGGTGGTGGGTTCAAAAAACATGCTATCTTTAAAAAAAACAAAAAAAACAAAATCAAAACCATTTATCAAAACCAGAAATGTAAAAACAGAAAGAATCAACAGATTTTCAGGTTTTAAATGGCCCCTGAACTACTCATCTATCAGGTGGCATTTAATCTAAAAATTTAATGAAATGTGAGCGTAAAATCATGATATTTAATAAAAAATAAATGTATTATTCATGTCTCATCTAAAAAAACCTGCCAAAAATAAATTGTTTGCTCAAACCAGATCTGTAAAGAAGACAAAAAATTCAGAATTTCTTGGCTCAACCAGAAAGCCATTTGGGATCTAGCTACTATCAGCAGTCATGGGACAAAAACTCCACAACTTTTTGGCTAAACTGGGTTGAACTGCAGGTTGTGTTTAAACAGAGCAGGCAGGAGACAAGTATGGAAACAACCTAAAAACAAAAGTAGTAAAATTCTTTAACCCCTCCCCCAGTATGCTACTGGTAACACTTGGGGGTAAAATGCTGAAAAACATTTTCTCTAAATGGCTGCAGGTGGTAGATGTGATATCAAGGAAATGCAAAAAAAAAAAAAGTACCTGTGCCCAGCCTCACAAGAGGGTTTGTCTGCAGCAAGGCAGAGATGAGGGCCTGAGCATCTGCAGGCAAGGCATCATCACCATCTGGCCAAACTATATCATCTGCCAGTGACGAGAGAGAGACAGAGACAGAGCGAGAAAGAGAGCGAGAGAGAGCGCGCGCGTTCACGCGCAAGAGAGAGCAAAGGGTCAGATAAACAAGGAAGAAATAAAGACTGCCTCCTGTAAAATACTTTTCAAGATGATAAATTGTAGGTGAAAAACCACTCCAAATATGCCCTTACTATTACTAGTTCCACCAGGAGACCAACTATACTCACTGAAGTCGGCTTCAAAATCTTATGGCCTAAAAACTCCTTAAAAGAAAAAATAGTAACACTTGACTGATATCGGAAGTGCATTTTGCTTTCTAAACTCTGTACTTCTTTGATAAAAAAACAAACAAAACAAAGTTATATTGCAAGTTTAACACAAGCTCCTCACCTGTAATGACCTGTCCAAAAAGCTCCTCAGGAGTGTCTCCAAAGAAAGGCACGCAGCCCACCAAGAACTCATAGAGGATGATGCCCATGGCCCACCAATCCACTGGCTTCCCGTAGCCCTGACGGAGAATCACCTCTGGAGCGATGTACTCTGGAGTACCACAGACCTGTGCGATGAAGAGATTGAGAGAATGTGGAGGAAACAAAGGCAGAGGAACACAAGATGTTGTCGTGCATGTAATGAAAATTGTTGAACTTTGCATAAATATCCTTTACAGGGTAGGTTCAATGAAAAACAAGTCACTTTTGCACACAAACTTTAGTAGTATTTGGCTCTTCAGACAGCTTTGGTTTTATTTGAGACATCTGTCATTGGGATTTCTGCCAACGGAGACAGAAGGAGCTTTGCTTGTGGTGCTAAAAGCATTAAAATGCAAAATGTGACAGCAGCCATACAGGTAACCATACAGTACAATGTGCCAAATACTACAACTAAGAACAACAAGAACTATCCACAACAAGGTTCATGCACAATCCATCCATCCATCCATCCATCCATCCATTATCTATACACCGCTTAATCCTCACTAGGGTCGTGGGGGACTGGAGCCTATCCCAGCTGACTAAATGCAAAGGCAGGGGACACCCTGGACAGGTCACCGGTCTATCGCAGGGCTACACTTAGAGACAGACAACCAAGCCCACTCATATTCATGCCTACGGACAATTTAGAATCACCAATTAACCTCAATTAACCAATTAAACTTTTGGACTTGTGGGAGGAAGCTGGAGAACCCACGCTACATGGGGAGAACATGCAAACTCCACGCAGAAAGATCCCGGTGCTCCCACTGGGATGTGACCTTCTTGCTGTGAGGCAACAGTGCTACCAACTGCGGCACCTTGCAGCCCGTGCACAATCCACTTAAGTGGAAACTTGAATCTTCTGTTAATACTATTCGCACCAAAATTAGAGTAATTTCCTTAAGATGGCATAGGAAGTTCAGACACTTCACTGCATTGGTTAATAAAGCTGAAAAAATTTAAAGTTAAGTTAAATGCTGATTCAAACAAACAGCCCTTTAATACTAAGTTTATCTCCCATGTTCTGTCTGTTACGTCTGTATGTTCAAGGTTTTATTCTAATAACTGTACAGTAATGACGTGTATGAATATAAATGTACACATTTGAGTGGCTGTATATAAACATTACTGACTGACTGAAAAATTCTCTCCTAATCATAATGTCCAACACAAACAAAAAAGCAAAACTGCCGCTTGTTTTATCTGCAGATGTGAGTTTTGCGTTGATTAGCAGCAGACAGACAGATGCCTGCTTCCACTCAGAGGAGCTGGAGGACACACGGACCAATCTGACTGATTATGGCTGGTTGAGTTCAGTCATAAACAATAACTGTAATTGCAAAATGGGATTGTGATGGAGATGGAGCGCATTAATAATTCAGTAATTCAGACTGAACAGGAAACATTGTAACGCAATGTCTTTATTCTGAGATTACCGATTTTGCCGGATGACCTGGCAGGTTTGCACGCATGGCTGGGGAAGACTAAAGTAGCAAACTAATTCTGCATTGCACAAACGTCATTCATACAGTTACGAATTAAAATGCATCTGTCAGCAGCCTTTGCATTTGTATTATCTGGTATTAAAACACTGCAAGTGCAAACACCTATGACACAAACGGGTACTAAAAATTACCGTACCTGCTTGTCCAGAAACTCTCTGGCATCTTTCTCAATGTGTCCTTCATACAGATTGGTGGTGAGGCTCATTAGACCCATTTTTGACAAACCAAAGTCTGTGAGCTTAATGTGGCCCATGGAGGTGATCAGAAGACTGTATGGAGAGAGGAAACACGCATTCAGGTTTGAATTCTGGCAAACAGCAATGAAATGTGCATACAATGAGGGATACGGTGACTGTCAAAGCTATATCAAAATCCTGAAATGTTCATATTTAATGCAACGTCTATGTCAAGTGGTTCGATATGGATATGAAAAGGTAATTCAGCTGTAAATACAACACTAACTACTATTATCACCTTATAATTATTGTAATTATTCATAATTATTCATATATATTTAGATATATTCTATATTATTTATTTATAATTAGTTCTAATTATTTGTTTATATATTTCTATTCCTCATTTTTCCACAGTGTTCTCACCCCATCAGTGCAACATATTTATTCTACCGTCTGGTAGAATAAACTGTACTTCTTACTGGCTCCTTTTGTAAATGTACTTATATATTCTTATTTGTCTTTTATACTTGTATTTTGCACCACTGGAGTTGTCTTTTAATTTCGTTGTACTTTGTGTATGATGACAATAAAAGCATTCTATTCTATTTATTCTATTCTATTTATCAAGGTGTTTGCACATAGAGCAGGCAAACTTGTGAGCAAGTAATTATGTATTTACACAGCTTAGCACTAATGAAGCAATAAGGGTATAACATGTAAAGATGTGTTAGTTTCCATTTAGAAAATGAATGATCAATTTGGTTTCGCAGAGTGTTTTTGCTAGCTAAAACAGTTTTCTGCAGCTGCAAATAAGGAAAAGAAGGAAAGTAAAAGTAAAGAGAAAACAGAAAAACACTAAAACGCTGCATCACATTCATCTTTTGTGAGTTAGTCACTATGACTGCCTCAATTCATTATTCCAAAAATATTGATTAGTGCAGCTTTAACACTCACTTGTCAGGCTTGAGGTCTCTGTGGACGATACCGTAGTTGTGCAGGTACTCCAGAGCTAATACAGTCTCAGCAAAGTACATCCTTGCCAGCTCCACTGGCAGAGCGCCGATATTCTTCAACAGAGTGGCACAGTCTCCACCTGAGAACACAGAAACACCTCCAGTTACCGCTAAAGTGAGAGTAGATTTATAGCCATTTAGCAGTTCTGACAGCAAACACAGTGTTCATATTTGACGTCTTAAATAAAACGCTATTCAGACAAATTGTATTGTAGCACAGAAAACCCTGCAGGTCGCCATATTTTGATCCTCTGATTAGACAGAATAGAACCATAAAAGATGATTCATATTAACAGCATTCTTGGTACCAGTCCTTCTGAATGGGTGAAAAGTTTTTTTTAGTTATTTTTTTTCTGCTGCTAATCGTTTCTTGGCATGCTATTCGTTTTCGCTGCCATTAATCTGTTTGGCAGAGTCATCATCATCGTGAGTCACTTATTCACGCCTCCCCCTGACGCCTCAGTGTGTCTGTGCATCAACAGCAAACATAAGAGCTGCTGTAGCCAAGCCAAAACACTGCCCTGCGCTGCCCTGCACATAATTCAGCGCAACTGAAAGGAAGATGAAAAATGCCGGAGTGGCGATGTGAATCTTTTAACCGCGTTTCACAGTCACTGTGGTAGTGAAATAAGCGTTTCATTTGCCCTTCTGGAAATATAGGTGATTTTATTCGAACATAGTATTTTCCAACAGGTTCCATATACAGTCATCCTCAAATTAATCACACTCTCCCATCACAGAAGGGAAAAAAAACAGCTGTCACTAAAATAAGTTGAAATTGACAAAAGTAATAATAATAAAAAAAATAACGGAAATCATGACATTGCTGTTGAATTGTGGTTCAACAGAAATATTAAAAAACAAACAAAACAACAACAACAACAACAAAAAACAAGCAAACAAGCATGATGGGACCCGTAATCTAATATTTTGTTGAAAAACCCTTTGAGGCAATCACTGCAATCAAGTATTTTCTGTGACTCTCAATCAGACTTCTGCACCTGTTGACAGGTATTTTGATTTTGGCCCACTGCTCATCAGCAAAGTGCTCTAATGTGTCCAGGACCATTTTTTTGTTTTTTTAAATCATTATTATTTTCACCCACAATTCAAAAGCAATGTCTTATTTTACTAAATTATAATTTAGAAAATATTTATTATTACTTTTTTCAGTTTCTAGTTATTTGAGTGACTATTGTGAATTTTGCCTTTTTTTAATTGGAAGGGTATGAACAAATGTGAGGACGACTGTGTGGTTTGGGAGCAGATGATAAGAAAATCCTAAATTAATCCAGAATTAAGCAAATGAAATCGAGAATTTAAAGCCTAAACTCAGAGGTAAGTATCACTACAATTCAAAAAGAAAAGGTTGTTATCACAGTGCCCAGAGAAAATGTGCGAATGTGTGAAAATCTGTGTCCTGATGTGGTAAAGTTAATTTCAAAGATGTTACAAAAGTGACAACTCAGGAAAGAAGAACCAGCAAGACAAAGCTAAAAAAAGTGATATTGTACAAACTAGACAGAAACTCGATTGAACATTTCTTCACACAGCAAAAGGAAGGGCAAACAGAACAGGAAAGAAAAAAAAACATCTGAATCCATCTCTAGTGTAACCCAAAGCCCTCACCTTCAACATACTCCATGACCATGCAGAGGTGTCGCCTCGTCTCAAAGGAGCAGAACATGGAGACGACGAAAGGGTTCTCGGCGAAGGTGAGGATGTCTCTCTCCACAAACGCCTGCTGGATCTGGTTCCTCAGTATCAGATTCTGCTTGTTGATCTTCTTCATGGCGAAACGCTGACGTGTCTCCCTGTGGCGCACCAGGTAGACAGCGCTGGAGAGGAGAAGAAGGCAAGACAGACAGTTAGAGAACAGCAGAGGTTAAAGTACAAAGTAAAACACAGCAGGTGGAAGAAAAATATCTACTCAACTCAACTTAGTCTCACTGCATAGACATGTCAAGGTGGATATTAGCACTTCAAAACCTGTGCTACAAAATGTCAAGCCCCGAGCTAATAACTTTAATTTTCTCTTTGATCCTGAGCTGAATTTTTGAAGCGTACCTGAGAAATATCCATTTTTTTCTCGTGGGCTGATAACAGTGGATAAAACGTAGGCTTGGCAGGCACAATGCTTCCATTTCTGATCTGCAGCTTTAGACAGCTTTTAGCATACAGCAGCATGCGCACCATATGTTACTTCTGTATTTAAATCTCCACTGGCCAATTGTTTGCTGTACAGGACATTTTAAATTTATGTGGTTTTCTTCCAAACCACCGGATAGACCTGTCCCTGAATACATGTAAACATACATTTTAAAATATGTCCAATCTAAATCCTTCTGGTCTTCTATAATTGGTGTTTCAGTTATTCTCTGTGGCAGGATGAAGAATACTTTCTTCCTGTCCTGTCTCCCATGTATTGTCAATATATTGTCTGTTCCATATGGTATTAAGAGACAATATTACAAATGAAACAGAAAAAATATAATGAGGCAGTTTCCTTTTACATGTACAGTTGCAATTAAAGTGATTCAACCTCCCTAAATAACAACACATCTAATTATGGAATAAACTCTCAATAGAAAAAAAAAAAAAAAAAGCGCAGTAGATAAATGATATTTAAGAAGAAAATGATCCTAGTCAGTATATGCCTGTCTTTCTTTATGAGCTCCTCTAACCTCTAGTAGTTTCTCACAAGCTTCTGACATCTCTCTTTTGGTATTTCAGCCTCTTTGTCATATTTAGAAATTTCCAGCTCAATAATATTCTGAGGTTTTCGAGCTACTTTTGTTAATTCCTATTTAAGACTTTTACCTGGATTCGATCGGGTACGGCCCAGAAACGATTCCTGAACCAGGCTTTGGTTTACTTGGATGGGTTCTTGAAACAACTGTCTTACTGGACCATCCAGAGTTTGCCAAGCTTCAATTTATAAAACCGAGAGCTTCACATCCTTAAAAAAAATCCATGATGCTGCTCAAAGCCCAACAACAGGACAGACCCACCTACATAGTTCACTGTATGGTTATGCTCTTCATATCATAAATTCCTCACCTTTCTTAAGACAGACATATTACTGATCAATGAGTCCAAACTATTCCAGTTTAGTGTTATCACTGCAGAAAACATGCTAGTCAAGCTAACTTGAATATGTTTTTTAATAAAAATGGAACGCAGTGAGGTTTCTGGATTCAAGCTGTATTGATATGCTGTTCTCTTTTGTTATCAAGTCTTTGCCGTTAATACAGCGGTGTTTCTCAGTTTTCATATGTTTGACCTTGCTGCCAACTGTGTCTCTTAGAACTTGAAGTGTCTTGGAAATCCTTTTCAAAATCTTTGCCGTTTTGTTGTAACAGTGCAGTGTTTTCTCGTAGCTTTTAAGACAACTCCTTTATGCTTGTCATGTTTTCTACTCTGCTTGAAAACCCTACATAGGAAGGTTTTTATCTGTATCGCAGCTGAAGCTAATTCATAGAACAGAATTTTTGCCAACAATTTTGATGCACTACATTGAAGTAGGTGACTAAAAACAACAATATTAGTAAGACGTTGAAAATGGCAAAGTGGTTGTACTATAAAAATATTCCGCAACTCAGAGAGATTACTTTTTTTCATTATAAATTTGATAATGTGACTCATTTCAAACAAATTTAGTTTCTTGATATTCAACATAGTCAGAAACCATTTAATGTGTAAAGCGTTACAAGCATAGCAGGGTTAAGTGATTTTGATTGCAGCTGTATAAAAGATCTCAAAGAAATGTAAACTAAATGTAAAATCTCAACGAATGCAAACTGAAATGTAATTAAAGTGTTTATGAGCCAAATTTAATGTAAGCCATGTAGAAAATAGCAAGAAAATATGAAAAATATTATTACTGTGCTGCTGTCATTGTTGTTGCCACTAATGTGTATTGCTTCTTTAACTGATCTCCTTATTTTCTGCAAGTAAAGTTCTTAATTATAGTGACCAGGAAAGTTTATTCTTGACCATGGAAACACATGGGAACAAAAACTCAAATCAAAGTCCACAGACTAGATTTTTGAAATCCAGCGTAGGTGGATGATGTTTACTCACTTGTTGTGGAGTAAACTAAAAATGAAATATATAACAAGTAATTTCATCCACTGAATTGAGTTAAAAGCACTAAAAAAAAAAAAAAAGCAACAAACTGATAGGGTTTGATTTAGTCTCTGAGGAATCAATGAGGAATAAACTGATCCCTTACCCATAAGCTCCATTGCTGATCAGTTTGATGCTCTGAAAGTCCTCTTCACTCGGTGGCTTGATGGATCTCCCTTTTCCCTGTTGACAGTTTCAACATTATAATTCAAATAAAAATGCAGTGATTGGCCTTCAGCGGCTGCATGTGTATGTGTGGGTGCATTTAAACATAGTCTGATCTGTCCGGTGTTCATCACCTCTGCTGAGTCGTCGGTCTCGGGAGTGTGTGGACCCTCGCTGTCGTAGCTGTCCAGGCTCACGATTTCTGTTGAGAAACGTTAGTTAACAGCCAAAACCTGCCGCCACAATGGAAAGAGACAATTCTGAAGCAAAAACAACCGGCCTCCCACACCGCTGTGAGCAGACAAAAAACTGCAGCTGCCAAGACATCTTTAACAAAACAGCTATTCAAGTTTTAAAACAGCTGAAGGGCCAAACGCCTCAAATCACAGATTAAAAAAAACATGAGAATTAAAATAGCTTCTTCCTATTAATTCTCCTTGTTTCCTCCAGCTCTCCCTCCCCCTCACTTTCTTCCTGCTCCCTCCATCAGCAGCACTGGCTGCTAATTTTCAGTGTTCTTGCACTCTTGTATGTGACAGCTGCTTGAATATACTGATTATACCACTGTTTTGTTGAAGCATAATCGAATGATAATAAACTTTGCAAAGCGTTGACAAAGCTGCTGTGTAGATATGAAGTTCATGCAAGATAAAAGTCACTAAGCTGAGAATTGTATATTCTGTCAGTTTCAGTTTGATGCCAAAAACAACTGATCTTGTCAACGGTCTCCATGAGAAACCAAGAAATTAGAGTGTGAAAGTGTGGATATGCAAGCAGCTATGTGGGTGTGCATGTGTGCCTGAGCATGATAATGTAGGTGCTAAAGAAAGTGCAAGATCGAGATTACAAGTGGCACATTGATAGCAGAGATTAACTCAGAATCTAACATATTCCTCAGGAATAAAGAAATAAAGCCGCAGCGGGTTGCAGTGAAGAGTCATTCTGAGTCATTTAACCCATCAGCTGACGAGCAGCCCCTGATGGATGAGACGGTGCGGGACAGAGCAGATGTGAATTAGAACTGTGAGATTGGGGGACGAGCCATGGTGATTAATTAAAGAGAGCGATGCCACCGCTCCAAGAGCCAGAAAATGATCCAGCCGGTTCAGACTCGACATGTCAATCCTCATCTTGAACATCCAGGAAAAGCTGATTGATAGCTTGAAGTGACAGTTTTCAGTCTGACTCTTCCTTCCCCACAAATTAGACAAAAAACACTGATGCAACTTGCAAATAGTTACTAATAATGAATCATTATTTAAGTCTTAATAATATTTGTGATCTTTAGCGGATGTAAACAGGACACAAACTATAACATGTACACAATTATGTTGTGTGCGGCATAAACTGCATAAACTGCATTTATGTTTCTGGTGAAGTGGCACCACTGAAAAAGTAGAGAAATCTCTACTGGAAAAAGCATTAACGGATATTATGATGTGATGATTTTCTGGAACACCTTTTTCTTTTTTTTAAAAATATATTTTAGGCAGATTTATGGACATTTAATAGCAATAAACATCTGAGATAATGATATTCTTGCAATATTATGAGAAATACTGCAGCAGGAAAGAGGCACTGGGGTTCTTCAGAGCCTCTATAGCCTCCATCAGCTGTGTGTAACAGACACTGCTGCTGTTCCAACTGCTAATAATATTAAAGAGGCCACATCAGCAGATTAAATTACAACAACAAACTCTCCCGCACACAGTGGCCCCTTTGGCTTTACCCAAAATCCACAGGGACATGCACCTAAGACCAAAAACATCTGATTTACAGGAATTAGTTTGGCAGTTTGGGAAATAGGCCTTCTTGCTAAGATCTCAAGGTTCGTGTATTGAGCTACAGTCTGGAGGTGATAGGCTTAGCTTAGCTCAGAAGCTGAAAGCAGTAGGAACAGTTAGCCCTGTTCTGTTCCTTCTTCTTCTTCCTTTCTCTCCACTATCACTGAGAATGTTCTAAGGCCTTATTGCATTGTGGAGCTTTGAATAACACGTGTTATCAAAGTGTCAATCGTTCCATCGTAGCATCTTAACAGATTTGTCTGCTGATACAAAGCAGACAAGCAGTTCTAACACTACAAATTTTTAAAAAATACTTTAGGCAAAGTATCTTTAGAAGCAGGAATGGGAATATGCCACTTAATCTTGAACGTATCCTTTATGACGTTACATTTTGTTTTTCGTCAGAACCCAAGGCCTTTGTTTTCTTCCTTTCTGACCATCCTGCAGAATCGAGGCAGCACGTCTCAGGAGGCCAATTAAGGGATATTAACAGCTAGTCCTGCATAACAGACCCAATTTTCCATTTGAATTTAATCTTGGCTTATTCAGAAAAAACATATATCTGCAGTTCAAAAGAGCTGCACGGTTGCAACTACAATCATTATTCAGCATCAACCTAAAAAGTATTTCTTACTCTACCTGTGGTCTCGCAAAAAATAGTTATAGATTTTGTTCTTGTTGCACCCTAACCATTATTCTGCTCTGGGGTTCGTTTCACAAAGCAGGTCTACACCTGCTTAACCCTGAAATGAGGGAGTTTTCACTAAACCTGTTTTGTGAAATGGACCCCTTTTCTGTTCTGCACAAGGTGTTTTCTTTAACTGTTACTTAAAGAAAGATTTTAAAAACTGACTTCGCATTTGACTTTTGAGATGCTGTGCATTGTGAGCAGTTGCTGTCTCTTTGAAAAAACACCAGAAGTAGCAAAAATGTCCAATTTGTTATATACAAATCCTCCATCTTTGCGTCTCTTTTAACATCTCGCACTCTTGCATCATCACTATGAGTTAAACCATGTTCAGCAAAAGAAACGCACATGACTGACACCTCTAAATCTCACTAATTAACAATCTATAGTAAAAAGGACAAGCTGTTAAAGGCTGTACCTATTTCATGACAAACAGCACTTAAGCAACACTGTCACTGTGGCAGCAACTTTTTTTGAAGTCACTACTGTTAACTAAGAAAAGATCTACAGCACATAACTTCTCACTGTCATTGTTAGATTACTGTTGTGTATTTAAAAAATAAATAAATAAAAGAAGACACGACAGGTTAATTTGTGAGCTTTCAATATGTTGGTGGCTGTATTTTTCTCTATAGAATGAACCAGCGTTTGTTTCCAACTGCTTTCTTCTTTATGGCAAGTTGGGTTAATTGTCTCCTGGGTCCAGCTCCGCTCTTAACACACAGACATGAGAGTGGTATCGATCTCCTCATCTAACTCTTGGCAACAAAGTGAATAAGTGAAACCAGCAAATGTGTGTCAGAGAGCGTTCCTGCAAATTAAAAAACTTCACCCATTCTTTTTTGCCCACATACAAAGCTGCACATGTACAGTGTATTTTCTGTCTCTTACCCTCCAGTGGGTCTCTGGTCAGCCCCAGCTGACTGATGATGTATCGAGGGATGTCTGCTTTCATCAGTTGTCCCTCTTTGGCGTGGTCCTCTGCTGCTTCCAGCAGATGGTAAAACTCCTCTGGGTTGAACTCCTGTAATTGGAAAGACAAAGAAAGCTACTAACACACAAGTAGATGCAATTTAATCTGACACGGAGGAGAATCGGGTATAAGATGCAAACAGCATTGATATTCAGAATGTAGTTACAAAATAACTAAAGTGGCAAGTCGGCAACAACAAAAATTATCACTGCTGATTTCGTTCTGCTGTTTGCAGTCCACACCATCAGTTTCAACACCTTAAAAATAGAGACCACTGCTGGTGTCACGTCGTTTTTAGAAGTGAATAAACACCAATTACCTGGCACGAGAAAGTGAGCACTTAACACTAATTTAATGTCGGACGTGTTGCCTTATAAAAAGCCAATCTTTGTCTCTTTCTGTTGCAAATCTCATTGATCTTCAAATAAATTTTTAGAAGAGACTCAGTGATTTCTAACAATCTAAAACGGTGTTATCGGCAAATAATCATGATTTGATACTTTTATCATGATGGCATCATGATATAATTCACATATTGCAATCCACTGTTTATATAGAACAATATATTTGTATTTGACTAAACAGTTGCTTGATCTATAGTGCTAGAAAATAGGAAGGAGAAAAACAATCTTGACTTCCCAGAGTCTGAGGTGGCATCATGTTTGTTTCTTTCCTCAACCAGCACATAAAAAATCTGAAGCTGAGCACTAGGAACTGTTGTTACTATTTTTATCGCCACAATCAGCTGATGTTATCTTTTTCTCAACTCCCAAATATCAATAGCTTATCTGTAAAAGTCCAATGTGTTGTTGACATACTGTACAAAAATGTTTCACAGTTTATCACACTATTGATTATTTTTCCAGGCCCACAGTCTGGTATTGAGCCACGATGACTGACTTAGTTGCTTGAAGCAACAACAGGATATGATAACAGCAAACAAAAGGATGATTGTTAATGAACTGTTGTTACGTTGTGTCACATCATATAAACTTATCACGGTAATAATCGCACAACTAGAATTTACTTCAACCTGCAGCAAATTCATGACCAAAGACCGCTATAAGGCTGTCAAACAAACACAGTCCGTGTTAATACACATTCCAACTTTAAATTGCTTTCCTGAAAACATCCTTTTTTCCAGCGAAACAGCCTTTTGTGGTGTCCTGTGGGATTCACTTTCATTCCTGTTGGTGGAATAACATTTTGATTAGAAAGCCTGGGGCAGCCGGGATCATTTCCTTGCCTGCTCTCTCATATCTGCTCCCTTCGACCGGATAAAAAAGAGAGAGCAAGGAGATGGGAATTAACCTGGCTCTCCGATATCTTGCTCTGCTCGAGGATAATATTCTTGCCGCTAACTGCCTGCTGACTGTGTGACATTTCCACTAAATCAGACCTCGCAACTGACTTGAATGCAAAATGAACTCTACGGACAAGGACAACATTTTATCTGTGCGTGTCTTCCCCTCTCTAACCTAAGGGCCATGAGGATCTGAAGTCCTCTCCACATCCTGCCTGACCCTATCGACCTCTTCCGACGGTCGCCTTGGCAACAGAAAGATGAGCCGGTGGGGCTGGGAGGAGGGACCACACCACTGGCGAACATGGGAGGGCATCAATCAGTGAGCTGATATTCAGGTGTGGCTCAGCCTCCCGTGTATAGAGAGAGGCTTGTTATTACCAAGTAAGTTCAGGTGAGCTGTGTATCAACATGCCAAGGACGAGGCTCCATCTCCCCGCTGATTCGATGTGCTGTTGAGAACCACTGACAAGTTGAGGAGGTGGGAAGAATATTGTACAGTTTGCAGATCAGTTGGAAAAATATCCTGCGGCGGTAAGCGTGTAATCTGCAGCAGCAGAGCAGGTCTGACGAGCTGAATGACAAAGCCAAAACAAAAACGTGACCTCTGCTGCATAACACAGAGCCTTCCCACATCCACTGCACATCTCATGTATTAAGAATGCTGAAGGTGAAACAACATTTACTGGAAGCAAGTGGATGAACATTAGCAGTCATTTCTAAATGCAAGTGAGCATGCAGCACAGACGCAGACAGGAGATTAACAGCAGGAGCATGTCTGCTAGTGTAGATTTAAATGCAATCATGTATTAAAAGCAGTCCTTTCACAGCGATTTGGAAATGGAAAAACTAAAGTTTCTTATGTTAATTACAAGATAATGTTATGCATGACTATGATACAGTAAAGAATTGCCCAAGCACATACTATCTATGACCATGGTCTCTTTAAGCAGAGAACAAGCTATGTTATATGCTTTTATAGTTTGCTCTGTTTTGTTATGTGTCCGTGTTTTATGTTGGATCGCATCTGTGTGTTTCTCTTTGTTTACTTGGTGAATATCTCAGAAGTGTGCTATGTGTAGGTTGTTGTCAAGACAGAATAAAGTCAAATCCAACAGAGTTGCTTTGATATTCCTCGAGTTACAAGATGAAAACCGCACATATCGGTGGGAGACGTCTTTCATAAAGTCAGATTACTTTGTTCACTTTCTTGTAGCTAAAATAAGCATCTATTCATGCTCTCCTGAATGAACACGGCACAAAGAAGGATGTAGTGAAAAGAGCAGGTAGATGGTATATGCACTTTATATCTTAAATATGAATGTATAGATATTTTTCTTTAATGTTCGTAATACTAAAGGTGAGAATTTGACTATATTTTGATGGTAGCTTGATAACGTTGTTTACATCACTGACTTATCTAGTGTTTCTTTCTTGTATTAATGGTATAGGCAATAAAAGCCACTGGCAATAGTTGTGTATTCGTCCTGGTTTGATTTCTATGTAGCGGAGTTTTGAAATAAAGATGTTTGATGATATGCAGGTGTTTAGTTTTGAGTGTCATTTCATTCTCCTTTATGTAATGCCCCATTGCCTAACTTGTAGACAAACACGTAAAAAAAAAAGGACACCCTGTCTTTTTATTTTGACCCTTAAAACAAGTAAAGCAAATGCAATGTAAAAGATTCAAAGAGCCATAAACCACCCCTGTCTGGAGTGACAGCGTAGCTTCCAGCTGTGACACACTTAGAAAACCAGTGTTTCATCACTTCAGACAGAATACACAGCAGACACTCTGCCCCACTTCTACTCATTCTTTAGTGCCTTTTCAGCGTGAAGGAGGCGACCCTTCATCTCTATGTGGGAGGACAGGAGTGTCTTAGAGCAGCTGAAACAGAATGTGCTCAGTCAGGATGGAAACTGCCTCCCAGAAAAAAAAAAGAATTGATTCAATGAATGGTAATTCAGAACAGAGTCTGGATTCTGGATTTGTTTGACTGTTTAACTGGTGCAAGAGGACACACAATCAGACTCACCAAACACTCCAGCAGCCTGGCAGGACGAGATATGATGATGAAGAGCTTTTTGACAAGCTCGATGACAAAGGTGAGCTCTGAACTCTCCGAGCGCTCGTACGCCTGGAACAAGACACACGGGGTCAGTTTGTGAGGTCTGCAGGCAGAAAAACATCTCTTCACTTGGCTCTCCACCTCCTCAACTCACGTCATGCAGCAGCTTCTCCAGGTTTTCCTGCAGTTCACAGAAGTAGACGCTGGTAATGAGCCCCTCACGGGATTTGGTCAGGCAGTCTCTGGACAGCTCAGCTATCTGGTGGTGGATGAAGCTGAGGACCCCGTCAGCCAGTGGCAGGACGCTCTCTGGGGAGTAGTTCTGGATGAACTCTGCCAGCCTCTCCTCCATCTGAGCTGTGGCCTGATAAGGGACACGGTGGCGGTTAACAGCCAATTAGGAGAAGATAATATGATCACCTTTCACAGACTTCAATAAATTGTGCTTAACCGCATTGGAACATGTCCGAAATAAATCAGATTTTCTGATGGATTTCTAAAACACCCACACATGCAAGTCATTTTGTAAATGCCTTTTTGGTGCCGGTATCAGCACACATCACATCCAATCTGCAGAAAAGCAGGGGTTTTAAAAACTTTTTACTTCTGAGGCTGCCAGCTACAGTACCTCCACAACTCCTTGTGGCATTGTAGTGCACGCATCAAATGATGTGGTATTACATGACATACCCTGTGCTTGTTGCACTTGAGGGTTGTTTCCAGCTCTTTCGGCTGAGAAATTTCCTTTAACCTTTCGTATTAATAACACCCAAAACATTTCTCATTAAACAATGTGAACATGCAACGATCTTGATAAAACAAGACCGAAAGAGGTCATTTAAATGCCATGTTAGACAGAGAATATCGTGCTGTGAATTTGTCTCATCACAGAGATGATGCACACATTGAATTTACTGTACATCATTCTGCCAATTACATTCATGGTTGAAAATGTTCATCTTGAGTTGTTTCCTCTTTTTACATCAATGACTTGGTTTTTAGTGCATTTTTATGCTTTTGTGAACAACTGATATATCACAGTGAATCAATGACTGCAAGATGATGGTGTGTTTGTTTGT